GTCGCCAACTGGAAAGCCACATCAAAATTCAAAAGTTTTAAAGAGTGTGGTATTTTCTTTACCAATTACACAAGCCAATAATCGTGATTACATATTGGATCAGTTATGAATTTAGGCTGTTAAAAAAAAAAAAGTTATGAATTTAGGTCAAAGCTCACTTTCGTTGTTCTCTAGGCATTTGTTCTTGGTTCTATAGCTAATAATCCTGATTACATATTGGATTAGTTAACATATGCTTTTACAAGTATTATTTTTTTTTCCCAAGTGGTGGAAGTAAGGAGGAAATTTAGGGGAAAAGGAATAATCGAGCCCAAAAAAACGGAAAGAAAAAGAAATGTTGTGGTACAACACTTTTTTTTTTCTAAACACAAGTTTCGAGGATTAATAATTCCTTAAATATGGTATCTTAAATAATTGAAATTTTGAAATTTTAAATTAAATATTTTAAATTTAAGTATTTGAGGTAGGTGAATATAAATTAGAAGAAGGGAAGAAATATTAGTTTTTGTTGTATAGTCCAATTATATTTGATGTATAACAAAATTTAAGAGAATTAATAGCTAATTACTTCTTGTGTATTTTTTGCTCCGTATGAAGAATGTCCCTTTTTGGTCAAACATACACTCATGTCTTCAATTAGGAGCCCTATAGGAGTGCAGCACCAGGAAACTCCCACTCCCCTACACTACACAACACGAGGCAAAGATACCCATTCCTGGGGGTACTTATGGTCTTGCATGGCGTTGAAGCATAGATTTTTCACCTGGCCCGGTTGATTGAGTCCTGTAGGGCATGTGACCTACACATGTGGGCGCATATGCCCTTGTTCCCCCCTCACACACAAGTGGGAGGGATTCAAGCTCAGCCCAAATAATTACCTATCCATGGGGAGTACGCCACTGAATTCAGGCATACATCTTCATTATTTTGCTATTTTATGTTGTTTACAATTGAGTGAATATAAGTTGCATACTTTTTAGAAAGGGAACTATAGAAATAAAAAAAGAAAATACCAGAATTGTTAATTTCCATCCATTAATACTTTCTTTAGTGAGGTAACAAGGACTATATTAACTTTTAATAAGAGCTAAAGTGTATAGGTGTTGAAGGCTAAAAATTGATAAGTGTTATATAGATTAGTGAATCAGAAAGAAGCAGGACAAGAGAACAGGAAGGGGTTGTTTAGATTAGTTTTTTTCAATATAATTAATAGTTGATAGTTGATATCTGACAACTAATAATTATTATTATTTATGATTTAAAATATTTAACAAATTTGATTAAAACCATTATTTTAAAAGGCAGAAACAAATACCCATGAAATGTATTTGAAATGATGGTGAGATGGGCCCAATGGGCCGATACGATTTAACAAAGGTGGAGACTCTTCAATATGTTATTATTTTGCAATGAAGGTGACTGGCCCATGACTCAGTAGCCCAATTTAGTGGACGCACTGTGGCTGAGTTGAGATGGGCCATGCCAATATCCCGGCCCATTTGAAAGAATTTTAAACCTGTAAAAAGTTGCTACTATTAACTAGCATTTTAATCTAGCATTTGCTATATCATGAAGAAGTCCTATTTTTGAAACATATAGATACCACTGAATACTAATTTTTCATTTAGAAACCCATATCTCTCTATTTGATCTAATCTCCCCATTTATTTTTATAACCTCTACATGGACGACCTATTTTTGTATTGAGAAAATGAATTTTAATTTGGTGTATGCAATTTTATTCAAGATAATAAGGGTTAAACAAAAAGGTCCACCATCCTTCTTTGGTGAAATGTTAACCTTAGTATGATATCAAGTCTTAAATTCAAGGTCAGACAAATCCCTATCATAAAGAAAAAGTTAAGAGATTAGAATAGTAGTATTTTGAATTGTAATAGACTAAAAAATACTAATTATAAGATGAAAAGGGTCACATCATGATATCATCTGATGATTAGTTTTTTTTTTTTATTAAAACATTATAGAATTGAAAATAATGTTTAATTAAGTAGAACTTCATTTTCATTAGTTATTAGAACTTAACTTATCTTGTTATTGCAAATTTGCAATTGCTTATCTCTCCATTTCCAAAAGCCAAATAATTAGTATCTTCTACAGTTTCCAAAGTGTTATATATCTATATATATATATATATATATGAACAGCATAGTTTTATTAAAATGAAGAATCAAAGTATATCTCAATCTATGCCTTTGCCATATAAGCTAACAAGGAAACTAAAAGATAAGAAAGCCTTCTGAGTTTAATACAAAGAGATAATACCTATAATAAGTATAGATAATTAAGTACTAAAAATCTTAAAGTAACATATAACATCATAAACATATCAACTGAGTTATGAGGACCATTGACAGGTGTCACGGAGCCTACCTATTACTACTTGGAAGTTTTCAAAGCGTTGAATTCCAAAGAAGACGGTCAACAAGGTATCTAATATCTAAATTTAATATATGGTCAAAAGAACTAGTGCCCCATGTTTGACCCTATCCAATCCACGCAAACTTCTTTTTCATTTTTTTTTCTTAACATTCAATCAACGCAAACGTTTCTTGGAACATAGGCAACAATAAATGCAAACCTAATTTCTTTGGTTGTTGGCCAATGACACCACTGCTTATCATGGCCACAATCAGCTCCATTTGGCCTCTACACCATTGACGTGGCATTGAAACACTAATACCCCTTTTTTTGGTCCCATGTTGGGGGGAACTGGTGAGAAATGAGAACACAATCTCTCCTCAAGTCCCATTCCGGCCTTTTCCATTTCTTGCTCGTGACAGTTTAGAAAATCAAACACCATTTTGCTTCCTAGCTGCCGACTTAATTAGATATTATTTAACAGAAATCACTCTCCAATTTGTAAAAGAGAATGCGATTAATTTAGTTAAATTTGTCATTGATTCGCACTTTTAGCTCAGATTATTCATATATATACCCATTATTAGGTCGAATATACTTGACTCATATATGTTATGCAATTAACCGGAATTTATTTTTTCAACAGCAAAACTTATATTAATCATAAGTCAAATAAATAACTATTAATTTAAATATAATTCTTTAATTGATATTGTATTAAATTCTTTATTATAAGCAAAAAACCTGACTGAAACTAGATATTATGAAATGGGTAATATTAATGATATTGAGCAATATAAGAAAGGTTAAATATTTAATTTGGTTCTTGAACTATTGTACAAACTCTCGATTTGGTCTCTAAACTAAAAAAATCTCTAATTTGATCCCTGAATTATTACATGGATTCCTGATTTGGTCCCTACTGTTTGTCAATTTATCCTAAGTTGATCTTTCTATACAAAAACAACTAACGTATCTCGTTATTAACGTAATATGTGATCGTTAAGTTACTATTTTTTATCGTTAAATTATTATTTTTTATCGTTAAATACTAGATACGTTATTTTTTTTTTGTATGGAATGACTAATTTGGAGCAAATTGATAAACAGTAAGAATTAAATTAAAGATCTATACAATAATTCAGAAACCAAATCAAAATTTTTTTTAATTTAAAGATAAAATTAAAAATTCATACAATAATTTAAGGCACATTAAAATTTTAATCTATAACAAAACGCGTTGATTATAACCTCAAAATGTGAAAAACAGGTTTATTAAAATAATAATAATAATAACAACGTGTAAAACAGGTTTAAGGTTGTGTCAGACTCATTTAAGCAGGGTGTATTTTGAAATGGACAACAGAGGCGACAATCTTTTCTTTTTTATTTAATTCTCGCAGTCCGGTCTTCAAATACCTTTTTTCTTTTTTGGCCTTTGCCTGTTTGTTTTTCTTTTTTTTTGCTTTCGTTTTGGATTTTTGAGACATTTGTTGGTAAATATCAACTTACAGCTTAAAGGTGTGTTTGTACTTTGTAAGATTCGTGTCCTGTTTTGTGTTTGTAATTTAATTATATAAAAATTATCAAATATAAAATATTAAAAAAATATTATTTATTTAATATAATTATTTAAAATTATATAATTTAATACAAATTAAACCCTATAACATTTTTTTTATTTAAAGAAATATATAAAGAATATTGCGTTTTGTTTTCAGTGCTAGAAACACGTCTAATGCCTTCGAGGCCAAGAATAAAAAAGCCATCGATAAGGGCCGCCCGCACTCAATTTAAGCGTCGCGCACTAAAAGAAGATGAAAGGACAGATTTAAACTGTGGGGGTGTGAAGTGTGAACCATTCCAAAAGGTAATGGGAATTCATCAGTTCAGTTTCACAACCAAAATACTGCTTTCATTCCTGATGGCTTTCACTAATCACTTTTTTATGATCTGATACGAAAATCCACCAATCTATACTGCTTTCGTTCCTGATGGCGCCCTGATTGTGACAAAAGCCTGCAATTCTAATTAAAGTCCTAATTAATGATTAGTTCTAAGAGAGAAGTGAAAAAGTAAAAAAATATACTCGTGACAATTTCTTCTACAGTCTCTTTCAGATTTTTTTGTTTTGTTTGATGGTAGTAATTTATTTTTTTATTACTCCCGTTTATTTTAAAATAATA